GGACAAGAAATATATTCCTTACTCGACAAAAAAAAGAAAAAAAGAAAAGGAAAAAAAGAGAGAGAAAAAAAAAAATATATGTATATACAGTATTTTGTTATTCATAGAAGATTTGTGAGAAAGATCGATGGCAGGACGGATACAACGGTCAGTCTATGAAGATTTATATTGGTTTCGATTCAGAATAAATTAATGGGCGATAAAAAACTAAGGAGAATGTTAGAGATAAACATCCGAGAAATAACACTATACTGTTTCGCATATCGAGGGCAAGGAGTGGATACACGATCATTAAAGAAATTAAATAGTAATGCATACTTCGGCAAAGTGCTTTTGCTCAAAGACAATGTAACTCTTTAACTCGAGGCAGAAGCGTGGGGCCCTGCAACCACCTTTTTAAAAACATCTATGTCAGTGATCATGAAAAAATACATTAGATCTACTTAATCTGATGGACACGATACGGAAAATTATGAGTTATAACTTCAGCACCATTATTCGCTGGACAAAAATCGAGTCCGCCTTTAATCTCGAGTGTCGTCTGCGCCAAAGTCTATGTAAGTCCTTATATATCGATCTGAATCTGCGCAAGAACTGATGGCGTTCGCGTGTTTGGCGTTTGAACGCTCAATGGCGTTCAATGGGCAAAATCTTGCCTTCTGGTAATGGGAGCTTGTCAGTTTAAGCACATCAAGCACTAGAGAGTATTTTTAGCATAGACGATAGTTTTAAAATGTAGACATATTTTATAGATTTGCTCCATCATGCTTGCTGTGTTTCTGGGAAAAAAATGGTAATAAGTATATTAATATACTGTGCAAGGAGATTCTGCAAACTGTTCGAGTACTCCAACACATTATGTGTTCATGCTTGTACTATTGTTCCTGCTCATTCAAAATTCTCTATTCCGTTTTTTTCTGCCGTATTATTGCTGTTGCAGATCCTGAGACTGACGGAATGACGAGATCCTGCCACTGCATCCATGGCTTCCCATGGTGATTTTGCTGACTGCTGGGGCCACAGTTGAGAGTGTGTCCTGCCCTGTCAGTGCAAGTGGCGTCTCCCGCAGCTGGAATTCCCTGTCCCTTCGGACGTCTGTTGGCACCACGGAATCCTGTCTTATTGGCTGAAGTCCTGACGCATGATGATCCCTACTTAGCGTTGCTGTCCAGTAATGGAAACTGCCATCAGTACCCTTATGGAAGCGGTACAGAGGACGTGCAAATGACTCCTTAGGTGAAGACCTTCACATGACGTTTGTGCGACATCATATTGTGCCCGTTTTAGTGCAGCTGAGACAATTTTGTGGGACTTTTTGGGGGCATCTTTACCTGATGATTTTCTGTCTCCGATCCCGACAGATATATAGTGTATTGTCAGATATATTATACTGGTTGATTTATACTAAGTACTGGAGAGTTTTTCCAAGTTTTATGGATACACAGGGTTGTAATCTCTTCCTGTGATTGGGGACGTGGAGTTTTTTCCCTTGTCCGGCAGCAATACAGTTAGGGATTACCGTATCCCTTGTCATCAACGTTTTGGGAGATCTGTTTGGGGTTTTACCTCTGTCGTCGATGTTCTTGCGGTTCTTGTGTATGGTAAAAAATTTCGGTCTCTTGTTTTGGCGGGAAGTTTGAAAGTTGCTGCTTGTTTCGCGGGAGTTTTCAAAACGGATCTTCCTTATTTTCTTTTTAGTTTACTTTTTACTTTTGCTTTTGTTTAAGGTTTCAGTTTCTATTTCTTAATAGATACCAGGATCTTCCCCTGGGTCAATGCGGATGCTTTCCATTTTCAGTTTTCTACAAATGTTAATAAGTTCTGTGAGTCTGTTTACTCGACGGTGTCTAGTCGTCTTCCAAGGCGGAGTCACTCGGATCCTTGGCTATGTGTCCGCGGATTCAAAACAAAGCGTTTTGGTAGAACGTTCGCGTAAGACAAGCGTAACTGCGGCTAAGTAGTATCGAAAAATAATAACATAAGATTCCAAATAATCTTAACAATCCTTATAAAACATATACTGTGAGATTAGGAATACTGCATGCTTAATCTTCACGAATATGTTGTAATCGATATATAGGTAAATCATGCGCTCTTACAAGATTGCGTAATGATAAATATTATAATGAAAATAAAAGTACGTGATTGGGGTAATCCATACAAGATCCTTGTTACTTAACTAAAAGTTTTACTACAATCATAGTTTTAATGTTACAGACTGGAAAGACAGAGATTATGACGTTAACCTTTGCTAGATTCATACAAACACACACATACTTATCTATCTATCTATCTACCTATCTTTCTGTCTATCTATCTATCTATCTATATTTATTTATTTACACACACACACACATATATACATAAAAATTATATATACATATATACATATGTATGTGAATACACATATATGTATAATACACACACACGGATTTACTTTATAGGGAAACGCGCATTCAGACACCACTTTTTAAGTAATACATGCGTATATTTTCTTAAATCTCCCTCTACAAAGAGTAAAACATTTTTACGTTGGCACTGAATAAAACTTGCTACTCGACCTCTTCAATATTTTCTGAATAGTTTAATACACGTTCGTAACAAATGAAGAAAAAATTGATATGTCTCATCATTCTTTGCCTATAATTTTTCACTTTGTCACTAGTTGCTGTAGTAGCGAGAAGACCCTATAAACTATTTTTATCTTAAAAAATAAAAACACTTGAATAAAAAGAAGGCTCTGACTAACACATTCCCCCCCTTTTAGCAACTGGCTCTTTATCAAAACCAAGTGCTTTTATAAGATGTGAAAAAAGGTAAAATAACAGAACTCGTTTGCCCGTCATGTTAAAAAGCTTTTATAATCGTGCGTATATTGGACAAAGACAAAGACAAATTCGCCTAAAGCAGGGATTTTCGACCACGGGTATTTTTATCCCAGGGAGCATGCGAATTAAAACAAGTAATCAACAACTGTAATTGTAAAGAATCAAAATATTCTTTGCAAAATATATAAAAAATAAAGGTACTTTCTTTTTCTTGTTATGCATCTACATTAAATATTCTTGTTTTTACATGACGGTAAAGGGGCATATGACGAGCAATATACGGACGAGGAGGCAAGTTACAGAGAGAGGGTTGAAAATCACAGTCCTAAAGGGAAACGAAGGAATATTTTCTAAGTGACAAGTCAAAAGCATTCGTCTGGGGAAAAATATTCACAGTACCTCAATATATATTTATATATATATATATATGTTACACACATACATGTATATGTTCATTTATTTATTAATCTGTTTTATATATATATATATATATATATATATATATATATATATATATATATATATATATTATTCATTTATTTATCTGTTTATTTATTCATATTTATATATATTTGCACACACACATACACATACATGTTTATATATATATATATATATATATATATATATATATATATATATATATATATATATATATATATACACATATATAATCCATGCAGTTCAATTACAAGTCTCTCATGGGATAAGTGTCTAAGTACATGTGAAAGATAACTACAACTCAACTTTTCCCCACAAGGAACACTGTAGCACACTGGTTGTCTATGACTAACATTTTGCGATGTCATCGATGTTGTTTCTCTTATGTCATGAGTGATAATTCAGTGTACCGCAGAAGCAGAAAGTCAATTATAATTAGTCATAAAAATTGTATAGGGATAAACTGTGACTTCAAATTTAAACAAAGTGTGTGCTTGGTGATCTTTGATGTATATCTAGTGTGATAGTAAACTTACGCGTCTGTATTCACGAATGAATGAGTGTTTCTATAATTTGTCTGTACACAATATACGAAATGAATAAGAATTTGTGTTCTTGCTAGTAATGTTTTGACATATTTTTTCACTTCTTGTATATATGAATATACATTAAATAATTATCACTCGTTTTTTTTTCATCAGAATATTTGCAATGGATTTCTGACTCTACAACCGGTGTCTGTGTTGATGGGAACGCACCTGCTCCTACTAATGCCCCGCGCCTGCTCCTACTCCTGCACTCACGCCTGCCCCTACATCTGCTCCTAATTCTGACTGCCGTATGTATAGATATGGAAATCTGTATTAATCTGCAAAATACCATATTATTAAAAAACAAAACAAAACAAAAAAAAGGTATCTACGTGAAGGCATTCCTTGCAAATGCGAATGATATATCAGTCCTTCGGCGTTGACGAACATAAAAACAGAAAACCCATTAAACACTATGGAAGTTGATGGACAGACAATTTTTGAGTGTAAATCAAGCTGTCTAATCTTCTGCGAAACTGGTATTGTGTTTCTAGTTCAAAGACAATCACTACATCCACAGCCGGATGTGGACAAGTGAACCGTGCCAACCGCATTGTTGGTGGAGTAGAGACGGAGGTGAACGAATATCCCTGGATGGTTTCTCTTGTCAACGGCAATGGATACTATCACTTCTGTGGCGGTTCTATCATCTCCAGCCAATGGGTCGTCACTGCAGCTCACTGTGCAGCTGTATAAGTAGTTATCCATGAGCAATCATCCATCTCTATCTAAAATGCATTTTTTTTTTTTCTAAATTTTCTTTTTATATTTACAGCATGAGCACCTCGGATTATGTATTGGCGGGAGACCACAACTTGTACTCAGCAAGTGAAGCCAATTCTCAGTGGATGCAGATTGCTGAAGTAAGTGGAATGTCCTCACTTTATCACAAAACAATGTAAAAAAAGTGAAACGATTTGTAGATATTTTTAGACCTTTATTTTCAAGAATAACAACTACCAGCTAAAATAAACAATTGTAAAGGGCATCCTTTTGAACAGACTGTGAGTCATCCGTCCTATGATTCTAATACACTGGACAACGACATTGCCCTCATCAGACTCACCACAGAAATACAGTTACCATCTGACAACAAAATCGCCCCTGTGTGCCTTCCATACAGCTGGTGAAATGTATGATAATGTGGATGCCACAATCACAGGATGAGGAGCTCAACAGGAGGATTAGTACTGATTACTGTTACAACTTTATTGTAATTTGTTATATATATATATATATATATATATATATATATATATATAAATCTGACTCCATTGACTCATACAATACATTTAACAGGAGGATCCACATCCGGCACCTTGTTCGAAGTAACAATGCCCACCATAACTAATACCAAATGCAATAACAAGTATGGAGGAAGTATCACTGATAACATGACCTGCGCAGGCATTCCTGAGGGAGGCAAGGACTCCTGTCAGGTATGTTTGTTCTAAAAGATACAACTGCTACTTGTTTTATCTGCATACACAGCATTTATTTCGATATATTCTACACAATATATCTGAATGTTACAGGGAGACTCTGGTGGACCAATGGTGGTGGAAGAGAACGGCAAGTGGAAACTGGTGGGAGTTGTGTCGTGGGGATATGGCTGTGCTCGACCTGATAGGCCCGGAGTCTACGCCAGAGTTACACGTGAGTAAATTGTTGTTAGGTATTTAATCCATGCAGTTCAATTACAAGTCTCTCATGGGATAAGTGTCTAAGTACATGTGAAAGATATACAACTTTTCCCCATAAGGAACACTGTAGCACACTGGTTGTCTATGACTGACATTTTGCGATGTCATCGATGTTGTTTCTCTTATGTCATGAGTGATAATTCAGTGTACCGCAGAAGCAGAAAGTCAATTATAATTAGTCATAAAAATTGTATAGGGATAAACTGTGACTTCAAATTTAAACAAAGTGTGTGCTTGGTGATCTTTGATGTATATCTAGTGTGATAGTAAACTTACGCGTCTGTATTCACGAATGAATGAGTGTTTCTATAATTTGTCTGTACACAATATACGAAATGAATAAGAATTTGTGTTCTTGCTAGTAATGTTTTGACATATTTTTTCACTTCTTGTATATATGAATATACATTAAATAATTATCACTCGTTTTTTTTTCATCAGAATATTTGCAATGGATTTCTGACTCTACAACCGGTGTCTGTGTTGATGGGAACGCACCTGCTCCTACTAATGCCCCGACGCCTGCTCCTACTCCTGCACTCACGCCTGCCCCTACATCTGCTCCTAATTCTGACTGCCGTATGTATAGATATGGAAATCTGTATTAATCTGCAAAATACCATATTATTAAAAACAAAACAAAACAAAAAAAAGGTATCTACGTGAAGGCATTCCTTGCAAATGCGAATGATATATCAGTCTTCGGCGTTGACGAACATAAAACAGAAAACCCATTAAACACTATGGAAGTTGATGGACAGACAATTTTTTGAGTGTAAATCAAGCTGTCTAATCTTCTGCGAAACTGGTATTGTGTTTCTAGTTCAAAGACAATCACTACATCCACAGCCGGATGTGGACAAGTGAACCGTGCCAACCGCATTGTTGGTGGAGTAGAGACGGAGGTGAACGAATATCCCTGGATGGTTTCTCTTGTCAACGGCAATGGATACTATCACTTCTGTGGCGGTTCTATCATCTCCAGCCAATGGGTCGTCACTGCAGCTATGTAAGTAGTCATTAAGGAACAAAAATGCAGTCTTCTTAACTGTCACAAATGTATTTTTTAAAATGTTCTATAACTTTTGCAGCATGAACACCTCAGATTATGTGTTGGAGGGAGACCGCAATCTGTATTCAATGAAGCGATGCCAATTCTCAGTGGATGCAGATAGCTGAAGTAAGTAAAACGTCCTCATTTCATCATAGGATAAAAACAGTGAAACCTAGATATATACACACAAAAGTAAACAAATACTAAATGAGTGAAATAAATAATTATAATACGCATCCTTTCGAGTCATCCGTCCTATGATTCTAATACACTGGACAACGACATTGCCCTCATCAGACTCACCACAGAAATACAGTTCCCATCTGACAACAAATTCGCCCCTGTGTGCCTTCCAACTGCTGGTGAAATGTACAATGATGTGAATGCCACAATCACACGATGGAGAGCTCAACAGGAGGGTGAGTACATATACATATATTGTAATTTGTTATATATATATATATATATATATATATATATATATATATAAATCTGACTCCATTGACTCATACAATACATTTAACAGGAGGATCCACATCCGGCACCTTGTTCGAAGTAACAATGCCCACCATAACTAATACCAAATGCAATAACAAGTATGGAGGAAGTATCACTGATAACATGACCTGCGCAGGCATTCCTGAGGGAGGCAAGGACTCCTGTCAGGTATGTTTGTTCTAAAAGATACAACTGCTACTTGTTTTATCTGCATACACAGCATTTATTTCGATATATTCTACACAATATATCTGAATGTTACAGGGAGACTCTGGTGGACCAATGGTGGTGGAAGAGAACGGCAAGTGGAAACTGGTGGGAGTTGTGTCGTGGGGATATGGCTGTGCTCGACCTGATAGGCCCGGAGTCTACGCCAGAGTTACACGTGAGTAAATTGTTGTTAGGTATTTAATCCATGCACTTCAATTACAAGTCTCTCATGGGATAAGTGTCTAAGTACATATGAATGATATAAAATTGAAGCTTTTCAGGAAGGAAAACGACCATTCACATTTTCCCCTGTAAGGAATACTGTAGCACACTGGCTGTCTATGACTGACATTTTGCGATGGCATCGATGTTGTTTCTCTTATGTCATGAGTGATATTTTAGTGTACCGCAGAAGCAGACAGTTAATCATAATTAGCCATACAATACAATGCATAGGGATAAACTGTGTCTTCAAATTTAAACAAAGTATGTGCTTGGCCAAGGGTTAATTAAGCAAATTGGAATCACTCTGTTAAAGGATCTCTGATGTATGTCTAGTGCTGTAGTCATAAACTTCCGCATCTGTATTCATAAATGAAGGTCTTTCTATAATTTGTCTGTACACGATATACGAAATGAATGAGAATTTGTGCTCTTGTTAGTAATGTTTCTTATATATTTTTCTTTTCATCAGAATATTTGCAAGGGATTTCTGCCTATACAACCGGCGTCTGTGTTGATGGGAACATACCTGCTTCTACTAGTGCCCCGACGCCTGCTCCTACTTCTGCTCCCGATTCTGACTGCCGTATGTATAGATGGAAAAAATATGTATTAATCTGAAAAAAAATCATACTAAAAAAAACAAACAAATAAATATTAATTTACATGAAGGCATTCCTTACAAATGCGAATGACATAGCCTCCGGCGTTGACGAACTAGCAGAAAACCCATTAGACGCTAAGGAAGTTGATGGATAAACATTTTTTGAAGTCTAAACCATTTTCAAGCTGTCTAATCTGCGAAACTGGTATTGTCTGTTTCTAGTTGAAAGAAATCTTTTTATAAAGACAATCACTTGTACATCCACAGCTGGATGTGGACAAGTGAACCGTGCCAACCGCATTGTTGGTGGAGTAGAGACGGAGGTGAACGAGTATCCCTGGATGGTTTCTCATGTCAACGGAAATGGATACTATCACTTCTGTGGCGGTTCAATCATCTCCAGCCAATGGGTCGTTACTGCAGCTCACTGTGCAGCTGTGTAAGTAGCCGTTAATGAACAAATGAACAGTCTTCTTAGCTGTTACATATGAACTTTTTAAAAATGCCCTATTATTTTTACAGCAGAGCACCTCGGATTATGTATTGGTGGGAGACCACAATCTGTACTCATCAAGTGATGCCAATTCTCAGTGGATGCAGATTGCTGAAGTAAGTGAAACGTCCTCACTTCATCATAGGATAAAAACAGTTAAATAATTTATAAATATTTTTTTTCTAGACCTCTTTATACACAAAAGTAAACAAGTACCAAACAAGTGAAATATGCATGTATAATATGCATCCTTTTCAACAGATTGTGAGTCATCCGTCCTATGATTCTAATACACTGGACAACGACATTGCCTTCATCAGACTCACCACAGTTCCCATCTAACAACAAAATCGCCCCTGTGTGTTTTCCAACAGCTGGTGAAATGTATAATGATGTGAATACCACAATCACTGGATGCGGAGCTCAACAGGGGGGGGGGGGTACTGATAGTGGCGTTACATATATATTTTGTATTTTGTTATCATAGAAAAATTGCCTGCATTGACTCATACAATACATTTAACAGGTGGATCCACATCCGGTACCTTGTTCGAAGTAACAGTGCCCACGATGACTAACAGCGAATGCAATAACAAGTATGGAGGAAGCATCACTGACATCATGATCTGCGCTGGCATTCCTGAGGGAGGCAAGGACTCCTGCCAGGTATGTTTGTCCTTCATTTCTTTAAGATATAAGTACTAATTGATTTGTCTGCATAAATGGCATTCCTTTCGATATATTCTATACAACATATCTGAATGTCACAGGGAGACTCTGGAGGACCAATGGTGGTGGAAGAAATCGGCAAGTGGAAGCTGGTGGGAGTTGTGTCGTGGGGATATGGCTGTGCTCGACCTGATAGGCCCGGAGTTTATGCCTGAGTTACACGTAAGATGCAGTCAACTAATGAATCAATTCATGCAGTTCATAGTTTCAGATGTAGGTATATGAAAGGTCCTACATGTGAAAGATACAAAACTCAAGCTTCATAGGAAGGAAAACTGTACTACTGAAGTTTTACCTGTAAGCTATACTAGCACATTACCGTTTTATGATTGACATTTTCTGATACCACTGATGTTATGATTGATAGTTCCCTGGTACCACAGAAAATGAAATTCAATCATAATTATTATATATATATATAATAAAAACATTGTAGAGGGATCAACTGTGTCTTCAAGTATAAACAAAGTCTGTTAAAAGATATTTGATGTATGCATCTGTGTATTCATGAATGAAAGCAATATAATATGAAAAGAATGTGATTTTTTTTTTTGCTAGTAACATTTTGATTTACTTTTCATCATGCCTTGTAAATATGATCAAATAATTATCACTCGTTTTTTCGTCAGAATATTTGCAATGGATTTCTGACTCTACAACCGGTGTCTGTGTTGATGGAAATGCACCTGCTCCTACTAATGCCCCGACGCCTGCTCCTGATTCTGACTGCCGTACGGAAAAAATAAAGTCTATATTTAAAGCCTATTAATGTAAAAAAAAAAAAAAAAAAAAAAAAAATCATACTAGAGAAATATCTACAGATGAATTTATTGCAAATGTGACCGACATATCAGTCTAGCGTGTTGATGAATTTGCAGAAAACCCAAATTAATTGTAATTTGATGATGAACAATGTTTGGTGTCCAGCATTCCATTTTCAAAATGTCATGTTCTACGAAAATAATATGCGTGTCTTGTTATATAGATAATCACTTGTACATCCACAGCTGGATGTGGGCAAGTGAATCGTGCCAACTGCATTGTTGGTGGAGTAGAGACGGAGGTGAACGAATATCCCTGGATGGTTTCTCTTGTCAACGGCAATGGATACTATCACTTCTGTGGCGGTTCTATCATCTCCAGCCAATGGGTCGTCACTGCAGCTCACTGTGCAGCTGTATAAGTAGTTATCCATGAGCAATCATTCATCTCTATCTAAAATGTATTTTTTTTTTCTAAATTTTCTTTTTATATTTACAACATGAGCACCTCGGATTATGTATTGGCGGGAGACCACAACTTGTACTCAGCAAGTGAAGCCAATTCTCAGTGGATGCAGATTGCTGAAGTAAGTGGAATGTCCTCACTTTATCACAAAACAATGTAAAAAAAGTGAAACGATTTGTAGATATTTTTAGACCTTTATTTTCAAGAATAACAACTACCAGCTAAAATAAACAATTGTAAAGGGCATCCTTTTGAACAGACTGTGAGTCATCCGTCCTATGATTCTAATACACTGGACAACGACACTGCCCTCATCAGACTCACCACAGAAATACAGTTCCCATCTGACAACAAAATCGCCCCTGTGTGCCTTCCATACAGCTGGTGAAATGTATGATAATGTGGATGCCACAATCACAGGATGGGGAGCTCAACAGGAGGATTAGTACTGATTACTGTTACAACTTTATTTTCATTATGTGAGGTTAATATTGATTTCTGTTACAACTTTATTTTCATTATGTGAGGATTCATTTCCATATACCCACTCAATGCATTTAACAGCAGGATCCACATCCGGCACCTTGTTCGAAGTAACATGGATGCCCACCATAACTAACAATGAATGCAATAGCAAGTATGGTGGGAGTATCACTGACAACATGATTTGCGCAGGCATTTCTGAAGGAGGCAAGGACTCCTGTCAGGTATGTTCATTCTTCATTCTTGCTTTTTAAAGATACAATTTGAACTTACCTGTTTTGATACATGACATTCCTTTCGATATATTTTACACAATATATCTGAATGCTACAGGGAGACTCTGGTGGACCAATGGTGGTGGAAGAAAACGGCAAGTGGAAGCTGGTGGGAGTTGTGTCGTGGGGATATGGCTGTGCTCGACCTGATAGGCCTGGTGTCTATGCGAGAGTTACACGTAAGTAATTTGCAGTTGGCTAATGAATGAAGTAATTTGCAATCAATTCATCCAGTTTAATAACCCAACTCTGTCATGTGATATGGATGTAGGTATGTCAAAGGTCCTACATGTGAAAGATACATTCAATCATAATTACTTTTGGAAGTGGCAAGTAGTTTTCAAAAAAGCGCTAATAGCATAAATCCATTATAAATGACGAGGTCCTTTGCTTCTGACACTTTGTCTCAAATGATTAATCTTTCGTGGTAAGTAGGACATTTTACGGGAAATGCTAACAAGCGGTTCTGTTTCTTTCTCTTCAGAATACCTTGACTAGATTTCGACCTCGACTGGAGGTGTCTGTCCGACGGCTGGTTAATCCGCCCATTGAAACTGCCAATGGAAGCTTCCGAAAGCACGACATAGACAAGGAGCTAAAGTGTGGATATAATGCCGTTATTCATCTCCTTCACGTTTTCTTTCATTTAGCCCCGTTTTCTACCCTGATTTCTTTTACTGAATTAAGGAAGTGACAATAAACTGATGATGGTTCGATTTGTTTTAGTGATATTCCGCACCACAACTTTTGTAATGTTGATTAACTCTAAACGCCCAACCGGCCATATCAACCAACCGAACGAATGTAACCACGCCCCATTTTCTTGCTGTTTCCTTGCTAGGACCCGTATAGGGCGCTGAGGAGGTGCAGGGATGATTACAGAGTAAGCCCAGATAGAATGTTTTGTCATATGAACCTATTTTACAAACCCCTAACGCTTTCTGTGCTGCCCAACGTTGCCACACAACCTCCAGGAGCGCGATGGGCGGTACAGTCAAAGGTCTGCATGTCGCCCACCTGTAAGACCTGGAGATAACAATGTTTTCGAAACACAATCTCCCTCCGCCGAGTGAAAGCTCATCCCTGACTCGTTCGGCCCCAGACCTCCATGTGCTGACACATATATGTGCAGTATATATACGTGCACACAAACACATCAACACGCATGCATATATGTATATATGTGTGTGTATAAATATATACAAATATATATATATATATATATATATGAAAGCCAAGACATTTCTCCGATCCTTTGTTCACACACAAGAGTGATCTTTTGCTTCGGTCTTCACATCATAGCAGATCCTTTTTTTAACGACGTGTGTGGGTGCGGGCATTTTCCCAGAGGCAAAAACAGTGGAAAAAGGAAGTTTTCTTTTCTTTTGTGATTTTTTTTTGTGTTCAGCTTTAGAATCCTTGAAAACCTTTCCTTTAAGGAGAACCTCTTAGCTCTTCACTCGATCTTACAAACATTTCAGGAAATTCTGACAAGCTTACTGCTGTTCAAAGTGACTCAGGTAGTAATACCTCAGCAATTTTGTAATACTGTGACAGAACTTGTGCAATATTTGTAATAGCGTTCTGTCAGTCTTCTGCGCGTGGTCAAAAGTAGACGGCCTAAATAACAATATAAGCATATAATGACATGGTTACAAACAAACATGGCCAAAGTAATGCATGTAGTCATATATAAACATTAGAACAAATACACATGGCCATAATGATATAACCAACTATAAACATGACCAAAATAAACAGTAAAAACAAGAATAAACATTGCCAAAATAAAGAAAGTAACCCAACATAAACATGGCCCAAAATACACAATATAGCTACAAATACAAAGCACAGTCTCCTGTCGAACGTGACCGAACTGCCATCAGACAAAGGAGAGAGAGAAAAAAAAGAAAGATAAATAGGAGAAAGAAACAAACATAAAATAAAAGACCAAAGGAGCCAACCACTCCGTTTGCTCTCCCCTTAGACCTCCTGCTCGCAGATGACCTTATAGCTGTTGTCGCAGCCGTGATCCGCGGCTTTGAAACTGCCGCTTTCCCTGAGCCTGGCGCAGGAACCGGAGTCGTTGGGCTCGCCGGCGTCCCACTCGCTCGGGTCGTCGGGCCGCCCGTCGATCCAGCCACTCGGGCGCAGAAGACCCACCCAGTACTCGCCTGCAAAGGACAGGCGCTCAGAGCGAGAGGTGATGATCCCTTGTCGCCCCGCAGACACTCAAGCGCAAGGTCTGTATAAATACTTACATACATAAGTACTACTTAGGTTTATATAAGTTTTTACTTAGGTCTATATAAGTACTTACACAGATCTTGTGCGCGCGTAGACTGTCGACCAAGCACTCACACACGTACGCTTACACACCGACGTTAACAAACCCAAACATAAATGCACACACTCACACACACACACACACACACACACACACACACACACACACACACACACACACACACACACACACACACACACACAAGTTAGATTATATATAAACGTTCTGTCGTACCGAACTATACCCTCCTTTATATATATATATATATATATATATATATATATATATATATATATACATATATGTACATAAACATTTATATATATTATATAAATATCATA